TGTTGAGAGCCTGTGTCCACTGTCCTGTTGGCCTCAAGAGAAGGTTTGGAGAAGCCACACTGCCCAGAAATGTGGGTCATTTCTGGATATAGATGAGACTTGGTCCCCCTACCCTGAGATCACAGAGCATAGCTTTGCAGAGGAAGCTCTAGCTGGACCTGGGACAGTTTGACTGGCTCTATGTTGGAGATTGGGGCATGGGAAAGGGCAGGAAGCCTCAGAGATGACCGCGGTAGCAGGGGCTAATGTCTACTGAGCCTTTACTCTGCAGTGCCAGGCACTGTTCTAGGCACTTCACATCCATCACTGTTTCCTTTGATGCCCCAGATAGCGGTCAAAACAGGTATCCCCAGTGTCCTGGTAGAGCCTCTGAGGCTGGTACAGTGAGTACGTGGCAAGGCGAAATTGTAGACTTGCCTTGGCCAGGGAGTGCCAGCTGGGAACTGCAGGTGTTTGGGGTGTTGAGCCGCAGAGGTGGCTGGAGCTTTTGGTCTGGGCTGTGGTTGAGTGCTGGCAAGGACCCCATCTGTGCCCCTGTCCCCTAAGAGCTGCAGAAATGGGGAACGGGGGGTGGCTGCAGCGGGGCCGGGCTCCAGTGGGGAGCGGCAGCATTGGAGGTCAGTCCTGGCATTGCCCCTGAGAGCCTGTGCAGGGAGCCAGGACAGCCTCCGCTTCCTGCCACCGCCCCCAGCCTGGGAATTCACCTGTGCCTGGAGCTGGAATGATTTGGCCCATTTATTCTTTTCTTTCTTTCTTCTTTTTTTTTTTTTTTTTAAAGATTTTATTTATTTATTTGAGAGAGTGAGTGAGTGAGAGAGAGCACAAGCTGGGGGGCGGGGGTACTGGGAGTGGCAGGCAGAGGGAGAAGCAGGTTCCCAAGGAGCAGGGAGCCCGATGCAGGACTCGATCCCAGGACCCTGGGATCATGACCTGAGCTGAAGGCAGATGCTTAACTGACTGAGCCACTCAGGCGCCCCCCATTTTAAGCATTTTTAAGGGCATGGTTCCAAGGCATTAAGTATATTAATGTTGCCTTTAATGCTTCTGAGGAAACTGAGTCTCAGAATGGTTATGTTTGCTCCAGATTGCACAGCTCATAAAGGCAGACTGAGATTTGAACCCTGACCTCAGAGTCCAGCTCTCTCCACAATGTCAGCTGCCTGCAGTTACCTGCCCTGAGTCTGGGACCCAACCCGAAAGCTCCTCTTGCTGTCTGGCCAATAGTGGCATTTCCTGGGGTAAGAGAAGGCCTGGCAGGCCCTGGGGGCCCATGCCTGCCTCCCCCTTTGCCCCAGGAGCTGAAACAACTGGAGTAATCCAGGGTAGATTGGCCCCTCCTCCTCACCTCTGTTTCTCTTGCAATCTGGGATGATAAAACTTGGCATTTTCCTCACCCCCTTCCCCAAGCCTGAGCAGCTCAGCTTCTCCTAAAACACAGGTCGAGTGAGTATCAAGTCTGCAGCCGACCCCAGGCGGACTCCTTCACCCAACACGTTCTGTTCTGCTCCCAGCGCCTGGGGAGGGGCTTGGGTGGGGCAGGGGGTGCTGCTCCCAGGGGCCCGGGTGGCAGCCCTGCTGTCTCCAGCCCACAACACTCATTCCTGCCTCCCCCTCAGCAGGATGGGGGGCACGGTGGGGTGGAGGCCAGCTGCCACCTTCCGCCCCCAGGGCCAGGGGACCAGAGACCAAGCGCTTTGGGGACCGCTCAGAGCAGTTCCGGGCTGAGATGATTTCTACCTCCTAGACCGGCAGGTGGTCTCATGGAGTTTAGAGACCTTTGGAAGTCATCTGAGTGGGCAATTTTCAAACGACCCAAGGAAGTGCCCCTGGGGTGACCCTGGGGTTTGAGGAATGGCTGCCCAGGGGGGCTCTCTGTGGCCACCTTCTGCGGCAGGACCCATAGCAGTCCTGTTTTTATCTTCTATTCAAGATTCTAAGTAAGGTTCTCTTCTCTTCTCTTTCGAAGTTTCTCTTGCTTGAAGAAGGGGGTTTGAAAAAGCACTGACTTTTTCCCCCAGATAAATAAACAGGGGCTTGATGAGGACCTGCCCAGTTACTCGGGGTTAGTGGCTGCCGCACGACTGGGGCACAGGTTTCCATTCCTGACTGGGGCTCCTTCTACTCTGCAAGCTCTTGCTTCTTTGGATTCTGAGCAGCTTTCATGGTGGAGGGTGATCTGGAACCCCCCTCTCTCTGCCTCGTGGCCAGCTGCTCCCAGCCCTGCTTCCGAGGCCCCGTGCCTGGCTCCCACACGCCTGTCTGCAGCTCTCCCAGGCTCCCCCAGCACCTTTGCTCTCAGCCCCCATCTGCGTCTCTCGCTTCACCAAGGATGTCTGCATGTGCGAGTGTTGGGGCTGTTGCTGCTCCCGCGGCATCTCACATCAGGCTGCTGCCACCCGAGTCCTGTCCCCAGGGAGGGAGGGACGGAGCCAGGGGCAACGCCAGACAGACTTGGGAGCAGCCCAGGAGGAGGGAAGCCACAGCACCCTGCAGTGAGAACGAGAAGAGGGAGAGAAGCGGATAGGGAGGCTAAGACACACACACACACACACACACACACACACGCGCGCGCGCGCGCGGGCGGAAGGCAGGGTGAGGCTGAGCTGAGGGCAGTGGAGACAGACTCACAGACGGGAGAGACTTGGAGAGGAAGACCCATAAAGATGGGCACAGGAGCAGGACACAGAGACACAAAGATAGAAAGGTGGTTTGTGAGAGACGGGAAGGAGGAAGAGAAATGGAGACAGGCCTGGCAGCAGACAAGAGGGCTATTAGCGACAAGGAAATGTCACCCTCCCTGGAGCTGGGGCCCTGTCACAGTGAGAGATGCGCTGCGTGTTCGGTCTGGCACCGGGTCCAGCTGATGGATGTGGGGTGGGTCCTGTTGCCGGCGGCCTGTCACATCCCCTCTCTGACTGCCTCCTTCCAGAGCTGGGCCCGGCTTTCCTTCAGTGCCCTCCAGATGAGCTGGGCATGGCAACCCCAAGAGTGTGCTATTGGGAGGTGGCCTTGTGCAGATGCCTCTGCTGAGAACAGTCCGCTCCTGTCCATTGGGGCTTGCACTGAGGCAGAGGGATGGGCACGCTGGCTTGCTCAGAATCCCCTGCCAGTCACAAATGGGGAGCTTGTTTGGGACCTGACAGATTGAGGGGCCCCAGAAGGTAGCAGACATAACAAAGGTATGAGGGGATAGCAAATCAGGGTGGGGGGGGGGATACTGGTTAGGTCTTGCCTTCCCAGGATTGGAGACCAACATCCAGGGTTCCCCTCTCACCGGCCCCCAAACCTGCCTCCTGGTGCGGGCATGAGAGAAGATTCAGGGAGACTCCGACGGAGCCCCAGAGGCGCGGGCACCACCACAGTGTCCCTTCTGGCTCTGGACTGAGCCTTTTCTTCCCCCGCCTGGGGGACGGGGCCTCTGCAGGCTCTTCGCCAGCACATTGGTGGAGCAGAGACCTGGGGTCTGGGGGCTATGTGGCAGGGAGGGAGTCCTTGGGGGCCCCTGCCTCTAGCATTCATAAGAGTTTTGGCCCCATGGTCGCAGAGGCAAGGGGTGGTTCACCCCGTTCCCCCTTCCGTCTTGGCTGCCTCATCTGTAAAATAGAAGGCCCCATCCTGCCCTGAGTGGGCATGAAGCACAGCCGTGGGCACGGGGTTCTGTGGCCAGTGGAGCTTGGGGCTAGCCTCAGGCAGTGGCTGGCTCTTCTCTGTCAGGGTTTGCCCCATGTCTCGGCTGCGTAGCGTGGAGCTAAGGACCAGGAGACCCTCTGGAGCACCTGTTTACTCACCAGGCAATTCTCAGCACCTCCTGGGTGCCGGGCCCTATGCTAGGTGCTGGAGACAGCAGTGATCAAGCCAGGGAAAGCCCTGCACCGGGAGAATTGGCAGAACAAGGAATAAGACCCTGGCAGATTGTCATAAGCTCCGGGTCCCCGTCATGGAGCTAAAGCAAGACTGCTGTGCCTGGCGGGGGGGGGGGGGGGAGGGGGGGGGGCCGGGGGGGGGGGGGGGGGGGGGTAGGGGGGGTGCTCTGAGGAGAAGGAAGGGGGACTTCTGAGCTGCTTGTTGGAAGGACTGGGGAGGAGAGAGCTAGGTGCAAGGCCCCGAGGCAGGACCTGGCTGCCTCACGGAGGGACCTAAAATAAAAGAAGACCGGGGTGGTGGTGGTGGTGAGCCGAGCCTGCCTTCTCAGAGGAGCCTTGGGGCCCGGAGCTTGGGAAGAGCTGGGGGGGCCACCCCGCAGGGCCTGGACTGGAGGCTCTGGAACGGAGGGCTGTGATCAGTGTTTGGAAAACCTTTCTCTGTGCGAGACGCAGCCTGGAGACTCACCCCCTCGGCTGTTGTAACACCAGGGGAGCGGATGGTAGTTGGGCCCGACATTGGGCGGGGGGGGGGGGAGCTAGGGAGAAGGGACCAGGATGTCCTCCCTCCATACCCACTGTCCCAGTGCAGAGCACTCAGAGACGCTGCTCTAGGAAGTCCCTCCCAGTTGCCATGGATCAGGGGGTGGGAGGGTAGGGCTGGCTGCTGGGAGGGAATGTGGCTTTGTGCTTGGCAAACAAAGAACAGAGCTTGGGGCCCTCTTCTCCTGGGGGGGTGGGCAGCCCGAGAGGCTGTTGACAGGACCAGTGGCTGAACCACGGGGTTGGGCTTGGCAGGAGCAGGCTGTGCCCTCAAGCAGCGGGGAGGAGCCCACAGCCCTCCAAGGGTGAACCGTGGGGTCGCTGGGCTTTGCGGGGGGTGGGGGGGTGGGGGGGTGGGGGTGGCGCAGTGAGGAGGAATGAGAGAGAGGGATGCTCAAACCCCTCCAGCCCAGGAGTGGGGCTGCTGGAGAGAATTTGAGCTTAGAGGGCCTTGGGCTGCCCTGGGGTTGGGATGTGAGAGGGGGCAGATGTATTTGGGAGCAGACAGTGTCCCCGGCGGGTTGGGGGAAGCAGGTTAACGGGACCTCCATGCCCTCAACATGCGTGACCTGACCCAGCCACCCTGCCTCCCTGCAGCCTTGCAGCTGAGGCCTCGCCTTCCCCGCCGTGTGGTGGGGGCCCACCAGGATGAACAAACTGTCTGCGGAGCTGGCCCGCGACTTGGAGCGCAGCCTGCCAGCCGTGGCCTCCCTCAGCTCATCGTTGCCCCACAGCCAGGGCCTCTCCTCGCACTTCCTCCCCCCTGCTCCAGAGAAGCGCCGCGCCATCTCTGATGTCCGCCGCACCTTCTGTCTCTTTGTCACCTTCGACCTGCTCTTCATCTCCCTGCTGTGGATCATTGAGCTGAACGTGAGTGGGCCCAAGGCTGGGGCCGGGGCCGGGGCAGAGGTGGGGGCGGCCACCTGGGCCTTACTCCAGCTGCCACACGGGAGGGTGGTCTCTGTGGCCGGGTGAATTTCCCGGTAAAATGAAGAATGGGAAGATAGGAGCAGCCGTTCTCATCTTCCGAAGAAAAGGGAGCTCAGAGGGCTGGAATCATTTGTCTAAGGTCCTTCAGCCAGTAGGTGAAGAAGGGCAGAGTTTGAACCCAGGCCCTCAGGCTGCAGCGTTCCCACTCCTGACCGCTGCGCCAGACTGCCCTCTAGTGGGCACTCCTGAGGAAGCGGGAGAGAGCCCAGGGGATGGGGGTCGTACTGTTGAACCTTTTTGTCTTCTTTCTGGCCTGTGGTTGCTCTGACTCCATTCATTCATTCATTCACTCTGTTAGCAGTTTTGGAACCCCTGCTGTAGTCCGGGCATTGTGCTAAACGCAGAGGGTATCTGCGGGGCAAACCAGTAAAAACTCCCAGTTCCTGGTGGTGCCTAGTTCTCCCTCCCCATTGTGGACACAACTCCAGTGCCCCCAAGTTTTGCCTCTGCAGGCTTGGTGAGATGCCGCTTCGCAGCCTGGAGGTGGAGCCGCCTCCCCATGCTGCGTCCGCACCCTCCTCCCCGCTGGGCAGCGCTTGGCCAGCTGGTGGTGGCACCTGATCTCCAGGCACTGACAGGCCGGAGCAGGACCCCACCACAGAGGCAGGAGCCGAGAGAACAGAGCATCCCAGGCTCCGTTGGTCCCAGCTGCTCCTCTGTATTCACTGGGGGATGTCAGCGAGGGACTCGGCTTGCCTGAGCCTTCCCTTGTTTTCCTTCTGCAGACTGGGTCAGAGTTCAGGGTAGCAGGTGCCCTTCCTCCTGGCCTCAAGCTCGGGTGACAGGAAAACGATGACTTTGTTGATAGAAGTGAGAAGTTGGGGGGAGGGGCTGGTTTAACGGTGAAGAGGACAAGTTTGATTCTGGGCGTGTTCGGCTGGAGGACTCTGGGGGTGACTGTCCTTTGTGCACAGAGACGAACTGGCACCTTCAACAAGGTTGAGCCATGGGGGACCTTAGGGACCATCTTATCAGTGAGAAAGCTGCGGCCCCACAAGGTCCAGGGCTGTTTGAAGAGCTTCTGATGTCTTAAGCATTATTCCTTTTTAACAACATTTTTTTTGTTTTAAGATTTATTTATTTTTTTGCGAGAGAGAGAGAGACACACACACACAGAGACAGAGCCTGAGACCTGGGGAGTGGGGGGAGGAGCAGAGAGAATCTCAAGCAGACTCCACGTTAAGTGCAAAGCCCAATGAGGGGCTTCATCCCACCACCCGGAGATCAAGACCCGAGCCAAAACCAAGAGTCAGATATTCTGCCAACTGCATCCCCCAGGCACCCCGTGAAGCATTCTTCCTTGTGAAGGTCCCATCCAGCATCAAAGCAAGCCCTAAAAGTCACCCACAGCTCTCATTCAATATATATTTTCTTGCCAGCAGACAGCTGAAAAAATTTTGATAATTTTACTTTTGAAATTATCCGGATGTACTAGCTCTAATAGCTCAGGAGTCCTCGTGCATACGTGGGAATTCTTGCAAGTGGGGAAAAGTCTGATCTCCAAATTGTTCTCAGATGTGGTGAAAAGTTCAGGATGCTAGACTTAGCCATTAGTTGAGTTAGCCATCATGTTTCACTTGGCAGATACTCAATTAAAATGTGATTAATTTTCGGCTTTGTGGTTTTATTTTCATAGCTTGGAGCGTATATGTTTCTAGTTCGTGAACAGGCTGGGTGTCGCCCGGTGGCTACAAGGGCCCCAGCAGGGTGACAGGAGCCACGCAGGGTCTTGCGGCCAGAGGCTGGCAGCGGCTGGGACTTGGCTCCCTTGAGTCGGGACGCTGTCGCCATCGGTGCCTGCACGTGCCCAGGCAGGGGGAGCCCTCTGAGGGGCCGCAGCTGTTAGGGATCAGAGGGACCGCGGAGCCCAAGAGAGGGGGGCAAGGGAAGTAAGAAGGGGACCAAGCTGGGGTGGGGGGGGGGGGGGGGGGCGTGTGAGACTGCACGGGACCCAGGGCACTCTTGAGGTCAGAGCACACGGTGGGGATGTGCAGGGGCTTTCACATGTCAACGAGGGGGGTGCCCAGACTGCTGGCTTCTGCTCTAAGCACCGGAATCACCTGGGAGCTTTATAAAAATTCCAGCTGCTCAGCTCACGCCGAGATTCGGACCCAGTGGTCTAAACATCTGTATCTTAATCAGCACCACCCCACACCTCAGTTTGGATCACCTGCCAGGGATTAGAAGCTCCCATCTAGGTGGTTGTGAAGGATCTTCACTTTTCAGCCTCCTGGGCTCCATTCCCCAGAGTCCTCTTGGGTCCTCCCTTCTCCGGGGAACTGGCAGAAGCCGAGGCCTGCCACCGCACTCCCCCTGAGAAGCCTGGCTGCAGTCTGGCTCTCAGTATCTGCCCAGATCCTCTCCCTCCCCAGCCAAGGTGTCAGGAGTCCCATTGGAAATGTATGGGGAGCTGGGGCAGGGACGGGGGTGAGGACGACTCTGCTCACTCTGTCTCTGTTGCTAGCCGTTCCCTCTAGCAGCATGATGGATTTTGCCCATTAAGCACAAACCTAATCAATTGATTTACCACCTGGGGCTCCGTCTGACACCGCTGCCCACCCCCGGTCCCTATCACCCCAGATGGGTGGTTGGCTGGGAAGATGGAGCGCCGTCATGGAGAGAGGGAGATGAGATTTTGTGAAGGGCCGGCTCCCAGCACCCAGTTGGCAACCCTGCCTGCCTGCATGGGGCCTGTTGCCTCTCCAGCACAGCCCCAAGGCCCTCCAAGCCTCCCCCTCCCTGGGCAGTGTGCCCACAAGTGTCAGTGCTGGAGCCAGGCCTTGCCCATCGGGGTTGCCTGGGTGCTTGGAGGAACGATACTAGTGCTGGGGTCTTAGGCCTTGGCTGGGCTCCTGTGGTGCTTTGGGGCCTTCCTTGGGCAGTGGCTTATCATCTCCGGGTTCCACACTCCCCCTGCCTCCTCCCTGTTCCCAGAGGTGAGGGCACCGCTGGGGACTCGGTTCTGCCTACAGAGCTGCTCATATCTCCCTCTTCCAGACCAACACAGGCATCCAGAAGAACCTGGAGCAGGAGATCATCCACTACAACTTTAAAACTTCCTTCTTTGACATCTTTGTGAGTGGCCTTAGGGAAGGGGTCCCGGGGGCAGAGATGGTGCAGGGACGTGACCTCTTCTTTCTGCAAGACACATTCTAGTCTGGTCGGGGAGACTTGACTCCCATCCTCAGGGGGACCTCAGTATTCGGAAAGTTCCTAATCAAGGCCCTCCCTTCAGAGAGCCTCAAGTGTGAGAGGGAAGAATAGACCCCTGCCCAAGAACATCACATCTAAATCATCCACTAAGAAACACTGACTCGGCCACTCCCTCCTGAGGCATCACACCCATGTAGAGGGAAGCTGGGGGGAGCAGGACCGGAGTGGGAGGTCAGCCTTCAGCTGGAGCAGGGGGCATTGGCTTGCCTGTGATGGCTTGTGTGTCCCCTGCACCGCCCCCGCCCCCGCCAGGTCTTGGCCTTCTTCCGCTTCTCGGGACTGCTCCTGGGCTACGCCGTGCTGCGGCTCCGGCACTGGTGGGTGATTGCGGTAAGAAGCCCTTCTGGCAGCTCGAGGGCCCTGGCGGGGCTGGTGTGAGGGACGGTGTATAGGAGGACTCACTCCCCAGCCCGTTTTCCCTCTCTCCCTCCTTCCCTCCCCTGGGCAGGTCACCACGCTGGTGTCCAGTGCATTCCTCATCGTCAAGGTCATCCTCTCCGAGGTCAGTGGCTCAGGGTCAGGCTGGCCTGGTGGGCCTCTTGCCGGAGGAATGGGCTTCTCCTAAGAAGGGACCCTTTCTCTGACTTGGGGCGTCTGTCCCTGTGTCAGCTTGGGGTGAGGGGGAGTCCTATCCTCGATATTTCTGAGGAATCATCTTCACTGGCTTCCTCCCCCTGTCCCTCTGCAACCCCAAGAACAAAAAATTCTTCTGCCAGCCTAACCTCAGTTTATCCTGCTGCTGAATTCATTCATCCATCTCAGATGCATGTGCCACAGAGGGTCCCCAAGAAGCTGGTCCCAGGAGTGGGGTGTGTGCCAGAGCTAGTAGCCCCTAGAGGGGACTCTGCGTTTGGGGTTACCCCCTGCTGTGGAGCTCAGCCCCCTTCTTCCACAGCTGCTCAGCAAAGGGGCGTTTGGCTACCTGCTCCCTATCGTCTCCTTTGTCCTTGCCTGGTTGGAGACCTGGTTCCTTGACTTCAAAGTCCTACCGCAGGAGGCCGAGGAGGAGCGATGTGAGTCCTGGGGAAGGGGTGCAGGGAGGGTCATCGCAGCCCCGAGAGAGGAGAGTTTCGGGTAGGAGAGCCAGTTCTGAGCTATCTTGCCAACTCTGAACAGCCTCCCAGAACCTAAGGGTGAGCTTGGAGTGGGGGGACCCTAGGCTGCTAAGGCGTGACTGCCCTTGTTCTGGGACAATGGCTGCCCGTGTCTGCTCCCCCAGGGTATCTTGCTGCCCAGGCTGCTGTTGCCCGTGGACCTCTGCTCTTCTCTGGCGCTCTGTCCGAGGGCCAATTCTATTCACCCCCAGAATCCTTTGCAGGTGAGGGTCGGTGGGTGGGAAACTGCTTTAGCAAGGGTCTTTATGAGAAGTGGGTTGGCTGGGTTTGTTTGTTCTGTTCCTTCTTTCAGCTCCCTGGGGAAAGTGAGCACCTCTCTCCCTCTCTGTGCCCCCGTGGTCTTGTACCCCGCTACCTCCCCACAGTCTGTCCCCATACCTTCCTGTTCTCATCTGTACTTGTTTTCCGCAGGGTCTGACAATGAATCCGATGAAGACGTTGGGAAGAAAAGCTTCTCTGCCCAGGTATTTGGCTGCCTGCCCCCACCTGACCTTTGGAGTGGGCACCCTGGAGAAGGTGCCAGTGCTGGGCTTAGCCAGGGTGGGCAGGGGCCTCCCCAAAGAGGGTGGACCTCAGGTGGCCCGAATGCCAGTCAGCATGCACCTGAGTGTCTGTCCCACCGTCAGTCAGGCCCGCTGGGCCGCCTCATACTGGGGCCTAAGGGGGGTGGCTGCGGCCAGAGCACCTGGGGCCCCCACAGGGCCTGAGAGACCAACCAGGACTCCATGTGTATGGAGTTATCTGGAGAAAGACCTGGCCACGAACAAGGGGGCAGGCGGGCCCCAGGCTGATCCTGTTCTGCCTCTCCTCCCGGGCCAGGAACGGGAGTACATCCACCAGGGGAAGGAGGCCATGGCGGTGGTGGACCAGATCTTGGCCCAGGAGGAGAACTGGAAGTTTGAGAAGAACAATGTAAGAAAGCTCTCTCCCACTTGACCTGCCCATGTGTGTTGAGAGTTTTTGCCTTCTCTTCTGAGGCCCGAGAAGCCCAAGGATGGCCCAGGTCGGAACCATATTCCTGTGCCAGGAGAGGGGGCTGCGCCCCGGGGTCGCCGCTTGGCAGGAGGTGGGGCCGGATTGGATGTTTCCACGGTGCCTTCCCCCTGCTGCACTGCCCCGTGTCCACCCTTGGCTCCCTCTGCTCTGCTCGTTCAGCTCCGTCTTCAAAGGGGAAGCCAGGCTTCGGCCCTGTGTCCAGTGTATTGTTTCATGAGCAAAACAACATTATCCAAAGAGATGGCAGTGAGCTTGGAGAATGGGGGACACGTCACCGTCCCTCTGGGTGGCCAGCCCCTCGGGCGGCCCTGGCCGGCCTGGAGACACAGGTCTTCATGGTCATGGCTACAGCTGTGCTTCTGTCCTTTAACTGGATATCAAAAGCCTTTCTCTCCTCATTGCTGAACGTTTGTCAGAACCACTGTTTTTTAATGGCTGCCTGAATATCACTGAAGTCCTGGAGTTTTCTACCCTGAGCTATTACGAAGCTGCCCTCTCAGGGCGCCCATTCCTTCCCCACCAGCCCACCCCGCGTGCCCTCCCCCTGCCCTCCGCCCACCTTCCTGTCACCCTTCTGTCTCTGCCACAGGAATATGGGGACACTGTGTACACCATCGAGGTTCCCTTTCACGGCAAGACATTCATCCTGAAGGTGAGTGAGGGAAGCAGGTGTCCTGGAGGGTCCTGGAGCCTCCTGCTCTGTCTGAGGTTTCAGCTAGGAGCTGAGGGGCCTTCTGGCAGGTTTCTCCCCACCAAGAGGGAAGGGCTGCTGTGCCCAAGCATGTCTGGCCCCACCCAGCCCTCTGCCCGCCCTGCCCCAGACCTTCCTGCCCTGCCCTGCCGAGCTGGTGTACCAGGAGGTAATCCTGCAGCCGGAGAGGATGGTGCTGTGGAATAAGACCGTGACCGCCTGCCAGGTGAGCCAGTCCGGGGCGCCCAGCCTGGCCATCTCTCAGGGCAGGGGCAGAGCAACATGGCGGGTCAGGTGCAGTCATCCCCCAGCACTACCATGTCATAGAACTGCTCCGTGCCTCAGCTTCCCTGTCTGTACAGTGGGGCTGATGGTAATGGCGCCTTCTGGAGAGGGTCGGGAGGATGGAGAGGGAGCACACAGACAGAGCCCAGCCCTGGGCCTGGGAGGGGCTCTTAGTAAAGGGACCTGGACAGAGAGGAGGCTGGTCTGGGCGTTCCCTGAGGTGCTGGGACCCTTTCCCTGGGGTGTTCCTGGGCTGGGCTGTACCTCACACCTCTGCTGGCCTTTAGATCCTGCAGCGAGTAGAGGACAACACCCTCATCTCCTACGATGTCTCTTCGGGGGCCGCGGGCGGGGTGGTCTCCCCCAGGTGAGCACCACCAAGCCCCTCCTCTCAGGCAGGCTTCCTGCCCTTGGATCGTGGGCTTGGCTCCCTGCTCCTGGTCTAACCCTCCCGCCCCCAGGGACTTCGTGAACGTGCGGCGCATCGAGCGGCGCAGAGACCGATACCTGTCCTCAGGCATCGCCACCACCCACTGCGCCAAGCCCCCTACACACAAATACGTCAGGTGAGCCTTGCTTTGCCTGGAGTCACCCGGCTGGCCTGTCCCCTGGTGGCTGTGAGGGCAGAGTAGGGCACAGCATGGACCGCGGGGCGCTTTCTCCTGCGGAGGCTGCCTTCCTGTCCCCTGTCCTGCTGGGCTCTGCCCCTCCCAGCCCCTAGTCCTGCTAATCTGCTCTAAGTCCTGGAGACTGGGGGATTGAGGGCTGGAGCCCAATGCCCAGGCTGGAGGGTGGCTCCAGGGATAGCCTGAGGACAGGGACGAGGCCATGGAGGGGGGCTGGGAGCCACGAGGTGGCGCTGGTCCAGGCGACCTGAGCAGAAGGCTCTGTGTCCTGGAGCTTTACCTCCCTGCCTGAGTAGAGTTGGTCCCGCTGCCTTGCCTTTTCCCAGACTGCTCAGAGGTCCCCACGAAGGAAGAGGCACCTGTCCCGGGGCATCCTCCAGTTCTGCTGCCTCAGCCTAGAACCCAGTGCTGCGGGCGGCCTCCTCCCCGATTCTCCGCTCTCCCCATCCTTCCTGGGGTTCCAGAGAGCACTGGGTGTTGAGTGTGAGATTTGACACACCAGACCCCTGGACGACGAGCTGGCCTCTTTCTGGGCGCCAGCTTCCTTGTCTGTAGAGTGGGCTGAGAGCACTCAGTGGGGCTGTGGGGGAACCGACTGGGGGATGGGATGTGCCCTGCCCGCCTCCTGGGAAGGCGCCCCCTCCTGGAGCCCCGCCAGCACCACACCGCTCCCCGAGTCGGGCCGGGGTGAGAAAAGCGTGCACAGCCCACCCCTCCCAGCCAGAGCTGACTGAGAATCCCTGAACAGAGAGGATGACGGCTGCCACTGGGGATGGGGGGAGGGGGTGGGGGGTCCTGAGAAGGCTGCAGAAGGGGGAGCTGAGCCTCACAGGGTACGTGGAGGGCTGTATCCTGTGGCCTCTGGGACACCTGCTCTGGGCCGTGCTCAGGCTGAGGGGCAGTTGCTAGACCAGTAGCTCCCTTCCCTCTTTCACCCCAGTCCAGGATGGGCCAAGAATGGGGTGTGGGGTCAGGTCGGAGGCCTTGCCTGGCTCCAAGGTGCCCCCCCAATGGTGCTTTTCTCGTAGGGGAGAGAATGGTCCTGGGGGCTTCATCGTGCTCAAGTCAGCCAGTAACCCCCGAGTCTGCACCTTCATCTGGATCCTGAATACAGATCTCAAGGTGGGGGTGCGGAGCTGCAAGGCCGGCTCGGTACAGTAGAGGAGACCCTGCTGGGGCGCCTTGGGGTGGGGCCTCCTGTCATGCTCAGGACCTCACCTACTCCGCCTCCTCTCTCATGCTCAAATTGGGGGCCGGGTCAAGACGGTCTCCTGAGTTGCTGGAGGGCCTGTATGTCCCCTTACCTCCGAGTTTCGAGGCCCTACGGAGCGGTGGCTGACTGCCAAGCCAGCCCCTCCTAGGTCTGTTTCTGTGGCTGGTGCCAAGAGCCGGCACAGCGTGTTCTTTCTGCCAGGGGTGAGGGGGAGAGGGTGGCTTAGGCTGCATTCCAGAGCTGCACCTGCACCTGCTGCTCTCACCCAGGGCACCCTCCACCCCCGCTGGTGCCTGTTGTGGAGGGGGGAGCCCCTGCTGAGGGCAGGCCATCCCGAAACTTCCTCCCACCTTCCCGCAGGGCCGCCTGCCCCGGTACCTCATCCATCAGAGCCTCGCGGCCACCATGTTCGAATTTGCCTTTCACTTGCGGCAGCGCATCGGAGAGCTGGGGGCCCGGGCGTAACCGTGCCCCCTCGCCACCCTGCAGGCCAGGGTCCTGTCACCACAGCCTTCAGAGCCAGAGAGGGGGCCAGTGGGGCTTCCCACCACCCACAGAGGACCTGGCCTCAAGCAGTGGGGAGGAAGAAGTTTCCTCCTGTGGCAGCCCCTTGGCCTCAAGCTGCCACCCTCCAGCATGCTTCGCTGTGCCCGGGAGCCGTGAGCAGGTTGGGAGGTTGGGCACCTGGACTTCGGGGCTTTGCCACCGAGGCGAGTGGGGTCTACCCTGCCGATGTTTACACAGTGACTGGCCCTGCCTCCTGGAGGACGAGATGATGCATGGCGCCCTGCCTAGCCGGGGGCAGAATCTGGAATGGGAGCGGCAGCCTCTGTGCGAGAGCGCCAGGGCCCTGAGCAGGACGGAGGTCAGGGCGGCCTGGTCACTGGTCACCGGTGTTAAGGTGCAGGAGCCCCTTTGTCTGCCTGCTCTCTCATCATGGTTTTTTAGGATTATTTAAAGGGTCTGGGACCTTTTTCCACATGTACTTGTTGGGGAGTGGGTGGCAAGTGGGGGTGGTGGGTGCTGGCAGTGAACCCCTGCCGCCCCCAGTTTCTCTCCTTCCCCCACAGTTCCTTGGGGACCTTTGTAATTTGAGCCAGTTATTAAAAACGAACTCAGAAAGAAAGAAAGAAAAAGCAGCCCCCCCTGCCTAGCCTCTGGAGGGAAGAGGAGGGCAGCACTGTGGAGGTGGGGAAGGAGCCAGACACGTCCCACACCCTCTCACACCTTCCAGAGCCGGCGGGAGGTCAGAGCAAGTGGGGACCTGGTTCCGGGAGCCCCCTACTTTCCTGCCTGGGCCAGCTGGACAGATGATTGGTCAGAGAAAAATGCCCCACCCCCCAGCCAGGCCTCCTGTGAGGGAAGGTCAGTGGAAGGTCTCCTGCCCAGGAACTGAGGGGAGGTAGGAGAGGCCCGGTAGCATCCGAGGCAGGCCTTGACTGTCCTTGGGGTCCCACAGCCGGCCTGGGGGTGGGGCCTGGGCTTCTGGGCCACTGAGGCACCTCTGGGATCTCTGTCTCTCTGGCTCCACTCAGCTGTCCCCTCTGCCCCGACACTCTCACCAGGGGCAGCACAGAGTCAGATCGCGGGCAAGGGCCGGAGCACTGCAGGGGCCACCGCCATCCCTGCCCTCCTCCCTCCCTCCCTGCCTGCAGGCTTCCGAGGGGGCAGCTTGCATTGAGCCAAGCAGGGGAGGGGGGCGGGTCCTATCTTGGTCCTGGCTTAGGTGTGTGACCCTGGGCAGGTGTACCTCTCTGGGCCTCCATTTCCTACTTTGTTGAAATGAGACTCATTATGTCGTAGGGCTGTCCCAAGATTGAAACAAGAATCAGGGCTAGTGCTTCAGTAATCAGGAGGATGCAGTTCTGCCCTAGGTGGGCACCCACGGGCCTTGCCACCCGTTGGGTACTCTGCTGTTCCTGCAAGGTCCTCGTCTCAGCTCCTGTAACGGCCTCTTCCGGCACCCTTTGCTGTGTCCCCTCAGTGATGCCCCCACCCCTCCTCCCCCCCATGCCCAGCGCCCTGTGTGCCAGCTTCCTGCTTCATGAGTTGTTCCCATTGGGTGCTGGGCTTTCCCCGCAGCTGTCCTGCTCCCTCCCCTGCTCCCCTTCAGTGAGAGCCAGCCCCCTCCCAGGTGGCACAGTGGAGCTGCTCAGGCCGTTGTGACCAGAAAATGGGGCCCAGAGAGGGGCAGAGGTTGCCCCGTGGCTGATGTGGGGGTAGAGCCAGATCTGACTGTGCCATTCATCAGAGCCCCTAGATTTGCATCGCACCTGCCTTGGGGTGTTGCTGGGGATAGAGCTGGGGAGAGGGGGAGGGGAGCCGCCTCCCACACCTGCTCTTTCCACCCTGACTGGCCTGACGTGGGAAACCACTTCTCTGACCACTGGCCACTGGAAAGGAGAACGTCTGGCAAAGGCTCATGCCCAGGGTCCCAGGTGTGGAGCTAACCACGTCGTTTCCGGCCAGTGCGGTGGTGGCTGTCGTGGACCAGGTCTCAGTGCAGATCCCAGGGCCTTTGCCCTTGATCCCAGGCAGAGGAGAGCCGTGGGAGCAGGACCCAATGGCCTGGTACAGAGCCCCGAGTGGGCCTCGATCCCTGCCACTGCCTGTTCTGCTTACAGACAGGCCGCTGTCCTCCCTGGGCGGGAGGGGAGGGGTGGGGCAGAGAGCAAACGCCAAGGTGGCACGAGGCTGGGCATGTGCCTGGTCTCAGACAGTGTCTAAGGAGTGTCACACACCTGGAGGTGTCACTCTGACGACCTCTGCTCCCACTGGAGCATCTTAATCTCTTTAGAAGCTGACCGCTGACCCCAGGCGGTGACTGGAGTCCAGGGACCCCCAGCCCCGCCCTGGGCCCAGAGTCCCCCATTGGTGAGCCTTGGCTCTGCTTATAGCATCTGACGCCAGAGGGGCTGAAAATAGCCCCTGGAGGAGGTGGAGGAGGGGGCTATTTAAAGGGCCTGGGAGGAGCAGAGCTGAGAGCGGGTGAGCACTGATCATGGCCACTGCAGAGCTGAGCTGCCAGGTGTCCGAGGAAGACCGAGAGCGGCGAGAAGCCTTCTGGGCCGAATGGAAGGATCTGACATTGTCCACACGGCCTGAGGAGGGGTGAGTGCCAGGCAGCTGGGAGTCCCTCTCCCCTAGAACACCTCTCCTGAGCCTCACACGAGGCCAGAGCACAGAGCCCTGCAGAAGTTTCTGGGGGTAGGGACAAGGAGAGGGCCCAGGGGGGAGAGTGGAGTCACCCCTTCTGCATCCCAGATCCTGGCAAGCCCCAGGGAGCCCCCTGCCCAGCTCATGACTGGAGGGTAGCAGATTTCAGGAGCTCAGTGTCCCCCTGCCCTCTCCTCCCCAGTTGCTCTCTGCACGAGGAGGATGCCCAGCGGCACGAGACCTACCACCAGCAGGGCCAGTGCCAGGCGCTGGTGCAGCGCTCCCCCTGGTTGGTGATGCGTATGGGCATCCTCGGCCGTGGGCTGCAGGAGTACCTGCTGCCCTACCAGCGGGTGCTACCACTGCCCATCTTCACCCCCGCCAAGATGGGTGCCACCAAGGAGGAGCGCGAGGACACCCCCATCCAGCTGCAGGAGCTGCTGGCCCTGGAGACAGCCCTGGGTGGCCAGTGTATGGAACGCCAGGACGTGGCCGAGATCACCAAGCAGCTGCCCCCCGTGGTGCCTGTCAGCAAGCCTGGCGCCCTGCGTCGCTCCCTGTCCCGCTCCATGTCCCAGGAAGCACAGAGAGGCTGAGAGGGGCGGTGACTCGGGCTCCACCGGGCCTGCTGTGGGCTGGGCCCTTCCTGGCTAGGACCATGGAGGGGAGCTGCTGGCCATGGATGCTTCGTAGTTTGCCCAGAGTTGGGGGCTAGGGGAGGAGGGAGCCGGAGGCCAGGATGCCTGGGTCCCCTGAGCTCCCAAAGGGAGGGGAGTGAAGACAGTGGGCACGAAGGATAGAGCTGGGGGCCAGCATAGCCAAGTGCCCCCAGCCCCAGGAGAAGGGACAAAAGATGCTGGTGAGGACAGAGGTCCCTGAGGGGAGTGACCCTGGTCTAGGCTCCAGTTTCAGAGAAAGATGAGGAAAAGGGGATCTGGAATGCTCTAGGAAGGAGGCTTGAAGGAGACCAGAGTGAGGGGGATGTGAAGAGGGCAGAGGCAGAGTGGAGCCCCCAGCATCCTCTGTTAGCGCTGCAATAAACGCTCAGCCGTGCTCCAGACTTCTTGTTCCAGTCTTTTTCCTTGTGGGGGCCGGCCCATTGGTGTCCCCCTCCCCCCAGCTCACTTCTGGGAATAGGCCTTGCACCTGAGCTAAATATGGCAGAGCCGGTGGGTACACTCCATGCTTGGTTGTGGGGGCGGGGGAGACAGGGACAGAGCTGTAAACAGGGTATCCGTCCGGTCCGCCTTCCATGCCCTGGCTCTGCTGTGCAGTGCCTGGCCTCTGTGTCCAGTCCCCTGGCACTGGGCAGTGTCCAGCAGGCCAGCTGGCATCCAGGGTTTGTTTAAATGATCTCATGGAGTAGAGGGAGGGGCCTGGCGCCAGGACTGTCCTTGGCTGTACCTAAGGGTGTGAACGGGGTCACTGACCCCAAGGCTGACCTACCTCTCAGTTCTGAATCCAGACAGAATCAATTCTTGGCTGGGGTCAGGCACTCCGCCCTCCCTGACCAGGGAGCCCAGGCTGGGTTTTGGGGAGTGGAGGGTCAGGTTCTTGTCTGTGACCCCTGCAGCTTCGTGGCTCCTGTCCCAACCTGGTTGCCTGGCCCAACAAGGAGACACGTTCCCCTTGGGACGAGATGGGGGCACAGAGGAGGCTGGAGGCCCATCTGGACAGGGGCTGGTAGCCTACCTAGGGCAGAGGGACAATGGACTGGCCCAGAGGGGTCCAACTCCAGGAAGACCACTGGCATGGCCGCATGGAATCCACTTCCCATCGTGGGGCGGGGATAGAAGGGAAGACCCTGGCATCTTGACCTGGAGTGCCAAGCAGGACCTGCAGGCCTGGCCTGGGCCGCTCCCCGAGAGAGGGGAATGTAGTGTGGCCTGGGGGAGGAGAGGGGTCAGAGAGCCCAGACTGGCGCAACCCCAAATCCCTTGGCGGGGAAGGCCCAGCCCGCGCCCTCTGGGCCCCGGGGCCGCCTGGAGAACGCCTGCGCCCTCCCGCCCTCCCCACGGTCCCGCGCCCCCGACATGGCCATGGCCAGAACGTCCCGAGCCTTCTGCTCTCGGAAGCCCCCAGATAAGCGGATCGGAGCCCGCAGGGCCCGCGGGGAGGCCCGGCGGTTCGGCTGGCTAAGTGCATTAGCCCCGATCGCGTCCCCTATCGCGGCGGCCATCGGACGGGCGGGGCCGGAGCTGCGCTCTGGGGCCCCCGGGCGACCGTGGCGGAGGCCAGAACGGACTGTGCTTTCCGGGGTGGGGGTGGAGGGCGCTGGGGGACGGGGGTTGGTAGGAAAGGACGGAAGAGGGCTGGAGGAGGGGCGGGGGGGGCAGCTGGGGTGACCTGGGTGTGACCCCGGGACGGGATGTCTCAGGAAGGAGAAGTCGGCGGGGGCTGGGCCCGGGGTCGGGGACGAGGGCGCTGGGAGGTGGGCACTGGGAGAGGGCTGATTCGAACCCTGGCCAGAGAGAAGGGATGGGGTGCCGGGCGAAGCGGGTGAATGGCTGGGGAGCCGGAGGAGAGCGGCGGGAGGAGATGGGGACCGGCGGGGCAGGGATCTAAGGGTCCTGGGGGCACGAAGCTGGCTCGGACCAGGCCCGGTGAGGCAAAGGCTGGACGGCTGCGGGAGCAGCTGCGGAGCGGTGGGGGGGGGGGGGGGGGGGGGGACACGCGCCCCGAGTGTCTGCTGCTCGGACACTAAGGGTGATGGATGGGCTGGGGGAGATGCAGCGCGGAGCCCCGGGCGGCTCCAGGCGCAGCCGCCGCCCCCGCAGCGGAGGGTCGGGCGGGGAGTCGGGCGGCAGATAAAGGGGCCGCGAGGCGAGAGGACAGCGCGGGCGACGACGGCGGCATGAGCGCGGCAGACCCGAGTCCCACTGCGGGCGCGGCCCCCGACTCGGACCCGGGCCGGGCGGCCGTGGCCTCCGCCTACCAGCGCTTCGAGCCCCGCGCCTACCTCCGCAACAACTACGCGCCCCCTCGGGGGGACCTGAGCAGCCCGGACGGCGTGGGGCCTTGGAAGCTGCGCTGCTTGGCGCAGACCTTCGCCACCGGTGAGCGCGGGGAAACTGAGGCCCGGAGGACAAGAAGTCATCAGAGAGCTAAATGGGCATGCGTGAGCGAGCCCGATGGGGACCAAGAAGCAGAGATAGGTAGTTAAGAGGTGAAAACAGAAGAGGAAGAGAAGCAATATCCCTTAGGTAGGGGGCAGAGGAGAGGGACCTGTGGAGAGGGCACTGGGAGATGAAGTGGGGGATGCAGGAGAGACCCCGAAGACCCCCGAGACAGAGGGGGAGACCGAGATCGAGATCGGGGAGGAAAGAGAGGCACGTGCAGGAACTGCCAGGCACCTCCGGATTTCCCCACCTAAGCCTCACGGAAGGGAGCGGCGGTCCTACAGATGTGGAAGCTGAATCTCAGAGGGGGTTAAGTCCTTTTCCCAAGGTCGGTCAGTCCACGTTGGGGCCAGGACTCAGACCCAGGTTAGCCGATGCTTTTTCCAGAGAGAGGCACACTTCCAGAGGGAGAATCGAGAGAGGCTGGGAGAAGCAGGTGAGGGAGGGAGGGACTGAGGCGGGGTTGCCTGGACAGTGCTGGCACAGGACCCTCCTGCTCTGCTCCCCCACCCCGCCAGGTGAGGTGTCAGGACACAGCCTCATCGACATTGGTTCGGGCCCCACCATATACCAGCTGCTCAGCGCCTGCACCCACTTTGAGGACATCACCCTGACAGATTTTCTGGAGGTGAACCGCCAGGAGCTGGGGCTCTGGCTGCGGGAGGAGCCTGGGGCCTTCGACTGGAGCACGTACAGCCAGCATGTCTGCCTCATCGAGGGCAAGGGGTAAGGGGGCTGCCCATGGAGTGGCGGGTGGGGGGGGCAACAGAGGACTGAGTGTGGGGTGGCCCTGAGCCCTGGTCCTGCCCCTGCACAGTGAGTCCTGGCAGGAGAAGGAGCGCCAGCTGCGAGCCAAGGTGAAGCGGGTCTTGCCCATCGATGTGCACCAGCCCCAGCCCCTGGGCGCTGGGAGCCTGGCGCCCCTGCCTGCCGACGCCCTGGTCTCTACCTTCTGCCTGGAGGCCGTAAGCCCGGACCTTCCCAGCTTCCAGAGGGCCCTGGACCACATCACCACCCTGCTGAGGCCTGGGGGGCACCTCGTCCTCATCGGGGCCCTGGAGGAGTCATGGTACCTGGCTGGGGAGGCCAGGCTGGTGGTGGTGCCCGTGTGTAAGGAGGAGGTGATGGCGGCCTTGGTTCGCAGCGGCTATGAGGTGCGGGACCTGCGCACCTACGTCATGCCTGCCTGCCTTCAGACAGGTGTAGACGATGTCAAGGGCATCTTCTTCGCCTGGGCCCAGAAGAAGGCGGGGGTGTGATGGCCCAGTGCACCCAGTGCTGGGGGCTCACATACACCCAGATTCCCTGTTATGTGAGGTGGCACCTAATAAAGAAATAAGTTCCTCCTGCTGAGCGTCAGCTTTGTCTGTGGCTCTCCTGGGAAACAAGGAGCTCTCTCTGAGGTTGTGGGGGTGTGGAAGCCACCAACCCTAGCCTTTTTTTCCAGAAGCTTCCATGACAGTAGGTTTCTTTACCACTCATTCTTCCCAAACTAAGTCAAGGCCAGAGGGAGCTCGTTCAGCATTTGCTGTGTGCCAAGCACCTATTAGGCCCACTCGGTCCTCACACGCAGCAGGTCCTGTTGTCCTGTTTACAGGTGAAGCTAGGAAAGGTTAAGTAACAAACAGGAGTAGAGGGGCGCCTGGGTGGCTCAGTCGTTAAGCGTCTGCCTTCGGCTCGGGTCATGATCGCAGGGTCCTGGGATCGAGCCCCACGTCGGGCTCCCTGCTCGGCGGGAAGCCTGCTTCTCCCTCTCCCACTCCCCCTGCTTGTGTTCCCTCTCTCGCTGTGTCTCTCTGTGTCAAATAAATAAATAAAATCTTAAAAAAAAAACAAAACAAAACAGGAGTAGAGCCTAGTTTAGACCAGAAGGGGAGAGGGGTATAATCAGGAGACGGAAGTGGAGAGTGCACAGGGAAGGAGTTACAATCCAGGCACCAGTTCCCTACCCCCCCCCCCCCCCCCCCCCCCCCCCGCAGCTGGACTGGAGCTCCCCGCTGCTCTGCATCTGCTCCCTGCCCAGGCACAGACCCCAGCTGCCCACTGCCTCCAGCCAGCCGTCTTCTCCTTCCCTCCGGCCTCCTCTACTCACACAGATGAGCTGAACAAGGGTAGGTGAGGCTGAGAATTGGTTTATTAAGAATGTCCCTTGCTATCCTCCTACCTTAAAATAGTTCTCAGTATCAAAAGAAACATGGGCCACCCAAGTCTGAGGTTGGAGTCCTAGCATAGCACCTCTACACCACAGGGAGGGACAAGGGGGCAGGGAACGAATAAGAATCCAGGCTCCCTGCTCCAATCGCAGAGACTGCCTTTGGATGGAAAGTTTCTGGAGCCCCACATTCTATCCTTGTGGAGCAGGAATGTGTTCGGGCCGCTGGCTACTAGCAGGGGTCACCTTTACCGGGGTGCAGATACAGGGTGGCCCCTGCCTGCCTCTGGGAAGGCCAGAAACCGGACCCAGCCACAGGCCTTCTCCCCCTACTCCCTCAGATTGCCCCCCCTTCCCAAGGTCCAGGCTGTGACAAAGGGGCTTAGCAGGTAGGGCACTGGGGGGGGGGGGGCAACGAAGCCTTGGTGACAGAAAGGCTGGAGAGGCTCCCACGATCCCTTCCTCCCTCTGCCTCCCGAGAGGCTGGTTCTGGAGGGTGATCTGAGTTGTGCGTGGGTCCTCTGAGATTTGGAGGTGGACTGTAAAGTGGGGGCCACGGACAGGGACACCCACATGCAGCCTGGACACCCGTACCCCGCCGAGCCAGACCTTGAGGATATCCGGGCTCCCTGCCTGGCCTGGGGCCCTGGAGCTGGTGCTCAATAGATAGATGGTGGTGGTAACTTGATCCCCCATTTTTCTCCAACCTCCCCCCCCTGCGTGGTACACTCACCGCACTCACACCCACCTCACACCCAGTCTGTGCATACTGCCCTGACCCACACTCCCCTGCTCGTCTTTCAACACACACTTTCAAACCACTCCCGTCCCACCCCACTCTCCACACAGGCTCATACACCGTCCCACCCAGCATCCCACACGCTCAGTCCAATGCCCAATGCTCTCAGTCTAGTTCTCGCTCCCTTACACACTCACGTGCAGGCTCCTGGGGATCTGGCTGAGACAACAGTCCTGGTGAGACCACTGCCCAATCCCAGCAGCTTGGTTCGTCAAGATCCCAAGGGGAGGAGACCTGCCTTGGAACTTGGGCAGCCAAAGAGCAAGAGTCTAGTGCCACCTAGTGGTGCCCTGAAGGAGGGCAGGGGGTAATGGAAGGGGCCCCACTGTGTCCCCAAAGGCCTGTGGAACCTGGTCTCCCAGCTGGACAGACAGCTGTGGGAACCACCCAGGCGGTGAGGGAAGAGGCTGACGGAGAGGCAGAGGCAGCTCTCCTCTCAGTGGAGCTAAGAACGCAGTTCCACGTCAGTTCTCCCGGAACCTTTCTCCAACCCCGGATGCTGACAGGCCAAGCCTGAACAGACTCCGAGTACCTGTGAGGGCCATGTGGGGGCGAGCAAGGGGATGGGCAGTTACATGATTCTGGGCCCATACCCTTCATGTCCAAGTTCAAGATGTTAAAAGGAAAAAATCATCTCAAGGATTATGGGGAGAAGGGGAGCCAGCAGGGAGAGGGCAGGATCCCCAGTGGGGCAGACCGCTCCCAGGGCCTTCAGTCCAGCTTGAACTTGGCCTCTGATTCCTTCAGCAGATACAGGCTGTCATCTTCCAGAAAGCTGTGGGCAGAGGGAGGAGCCCACTGAGGTCTGGCTTTGAAAGCACCCCGTGGGGGTGAGTATAGGCAAGCCCGCAGGGGGCGAGGCCTCGGTCTCCTCCAAGGAGCAGGTGAGGATGGGCACAAAGAAGGTGCCCAGTGGGCGGGGAGAAGCACCCACCTGAAGAAGAGGACGTGGACGGGGATAGTGCTGATGTGCCAGATGGCATGGGCATCCAGGACCCAGAAGAAAGGCGGGAAGTCGAGCAGTTCAAGCAGGGACAGGCCCTGTAGCAGCAGGACCACTACCATGCACTTGCGCACGTGCGGCAGCCTCCGCCGGTTCCGCAGGCACCAGGCCAGCCACCACACCACGTTCACCAGGCCTGGGGGGGCGGGGGAGGGGAGACTCACTCCCTGGACCTCCCTCTCCCCCCCCCCCCCCAGCAAAGCCTCTCCTATTCTCCTGCTCTTTGACCCCAGGGCCATCTTTAGACTCTCCTCTCCCACCCCAAATTCTTTCCCCTTCCCCCACCCTAAAGACCTCTCTAGAACCTTTTCCAGGAACACCATCAAATCCCTACCTCCACCCCAGGCCAGCAGTTCTACACATGGTCCAGGTGCCCCCTTTCCCCGCAACCCTCTGGGGCCTCAGTCCCCTCTCAAGCCTCACCAATAGCCACATTGGCCGCCAGGTTGTAGCCATAGTCGAAACGGACGAGGCTCAGGTAGGAGACGTGCGCGGTCAGCAGCAGCAGCAGGAGGGCCCGGAAGGCGCTGGCCACGGCCGGGTGCTGCAGCCCCACAGTCCTGCCGCGCCACCCAGAGCCGCTCAGCTGGAGGGCAGCCCGTGCCCAGAGCAGCATTCCCTAAGCGTCCCTTCACCCTGACGTCAGTGTGTGGCAGCCGTGGCCCTCCTCCCCTACCCAAACAGGTCAGCGCGGCAGGCCTCCAATCCCCCCCCCCAGGGGGGGCGTGGGCCCAAGCACTACTGCTTCTCGGAAAGAGCCAGGGCCCCTCGCTCTACCCCGGAGTCCCCAGCCAGAACAGCCCGGAAGGGGTGCGTGTGCATGCGCACGCTGGGGTGCAAGGCCCCAGGGGCAACACCCCTAGGGATGGGCGAGGCGACCCGCTTCTGCCCCCAGCGCCTGATTTTGCCCCTGCAGGGGCCAAGATGGGCTCACCTGACACAGCACAGATAGATGGAGTGCAGGATGACGGTGGAGGCACAGAAGTAATCCATTTTCTGAAGACAGGGAGAGCTGGATGAGGGGCCAGCATGAAGGGAGGGGAAGATGGGCAAGGCCCTGAGAGGACCCACCCGGGACGGGGCAGGGCAGGGGGGCCTGGGAGTCCAAGGCCTCTGGAGGGGCAGGGGGGCTGTCTGTCTTGTGCTCCCTTCTGCCTATTGCTGTTTCACTCCTGAATGGAATGGTCTGACCCTTGTATTCACATTATACAACTGTTTAAAATGTATTCAGCCGCAAGGCTTTGGGGGCACGGGCAGAGACGCTTGCCAGGACTCCAGAACACCGCAGAATGCGGAGCGCAGTCTCGAGTCCCACGGCTGTGGGCCCAAGTCCAGGTGGCGCTCTTACTGGCTAGGTGACCCTGGGCAAGCGATTCAGCCTTTCCGAGGTTCAGGGGCGTCGTCAGTTAAGGGCCAATCATCACACCTACCTCACAAGGGCCAAGTGAGGCTCAGGTGCACGAACAGGTTAAAAATGCCGAGCACAGAGCAAGGGAGTCCCTCCGAAACCTAAGAGCCGGCCCCCACCCCTTCTGGGCTCTTCTGGGACGCTCCCACACAGGAGGGTGAGCCGGAGGGGCGCTCACCTCTGTGAGGTCGGTGTCCTTGGTGTGGAAGACTGTGGACCAGAACCAAGCATTGAGGGAGACCTGCAGGGAGGCGCTAGTCAGCGTGGTGTCCTGAGGTGGGGAGGAGCACTCACAGGGGTGGCACTTTGGGGAAGGGGCTCTGTGGAGCAGAGAAACATGCTCCCCTTTGGCCCCGGAACCAACCTGTGCCCTCAGCCGGCCGCAAGCCTGAGCCCCCTAGGCCACGGGGACTGCGGCCTCCACAGGTTCCGGCCTGGCCTGGGAACCAGTTCCGGCAGAGCCAAGTTCCCTGCTTACTCAATCGCTAAGACAACAGCCCCCGGGGGGCCTCGCCTCCTCCCCCAACCGGCAGGTGATGACAGCCCCACCCGGGCCAGGGGAGCCAGTGACCTCAGCCTCTGGGGGCGGGAATGAAGTGGGTGGGGTGGAGGGGCTCGCGCCAGCTTGGGGTGTGTCCTGAGCAAAGCAAGCAAGGGAGGGAGATCAAGCCGATCCCACCGGGGCCAAGTCTCTAAGGAGGAGGCTGGCCCACGGAGCCTCCCCCTGGGTGGGCCGGCCCAACCTGCCAGACCGGCATCTGCTGCTTCCCAAGCTCTGGGAGGAGCGGAAGGCTGAAGGGGCTGTGGTGGGCAAGGGCCCAGGAGCACACTTGGGGCCTTTTCCCTGGAAATGAACTGCAAGGAGACAGTACAAAACATCTTGCAAACGAGTCCTAGATCTTGTGGGAGTTGGTGCTGTATCCATGGCCGAGGCCCAGATCACTGAAAGAAGGGTGGGCTGTGGGGGGCGGTTCCTACACTGGGCTGGGAAACCAGAGGCAATGAGTCAAAGGGGAAAACAGGCAGCCAGCGGTCTGGCCTGGGATGCACTGGAGAGAGGCGGCGGGGGGGACAAGCCTGCCTCAGACGGCTGCCTATCGACGTACCCGAGACGGGTAAAGGCCAGGAGCTGCTCATTTGGGTCCAGGACAGCAGGAAAACTGGCCAGGAGCCTGACAGAGGAAGCAGAGAAGAAGCCTCTCTGTCCAGTCCTGTGGCAGGAAGGTCAGACGACAGGATGGGTCCCCTACTGCAGGCCCAAAAGGGCTTATGAGAGCATGGGAAAGCAAAGGGGTAGAGGCGGGCCAGGCTTGGTGCAAAGGCAGTCAGCACTAGAAGTCTCTGGAGGCTCAGGTAGCCAGCCCCCTGCGAGCCTGTCTGGCCTGGGTCCTAGGCTGAGTCTCTCGGCTTACGCTCCCCACGATCTGGACAAAGGCCCTGCCCTCTGGGCCTGAGCTTCCCCCTGTGACTAATCGGGGCCTAGCCTAAGTGATCCTTCCTCCCTCTCCAGCCCTGACATCAGGTGGTTATTCTAGGTCAGGTTGCTTCTCTTTTGAAGACGGCCATCCAGTCCCATCCCTGGTGCTGCCCCTTCCCCTGAGATGGTATATGAGGCATGGTCTGGGGGCTGGAGGATGGGAAAGAACGGGGCAGCTTCTCAGACACTGCTCCCACAAAGTCTGGGACGCTCAGGGTCAGCATGGGGAGAGGAGCAGACTTGGGGCTGGAGGCAGGGCCCCCGAGATCACATGGGCCAGGTCTCCGGGGCAGGCCAGGAATAGGGATACCCTCGGGTCGGAGAATGGTCCTGGAGCCAGTGGGAGAGGGAGGTGGAGGGGAAGGCAGCAGGGACTGGCAGCCAACCAGTCCTCCTTGTCAGCCACAGCAGGAAGGGAGAGGTGACAAGAGGACTGAGCTAAGTGGTGGCTCCAGGGGTGGGGGGCAGCATGGGACCGGGGCTTAGCTCCTCGGGACAGAGTGGGAGCTGCCTGGGTCCCCTATTCAACTGCCTCCCTGGAGGGTCTTCCACTTACAGAGACACACCTGAAGCCTGGATTCTGCACCCCTGAAAAGTCCCCTCTCCCCTGGGCAGTGTCCCATTATGAGGGACTCCTCTTCCAACCCTCTCCTCTCCCACAGACTTGGGAGATAAGTGTCATTAAGAATGAGGCCCCCAGGCCAGACTGCCAGGATTCAAATCCTGGCCCTACACTTCCTGTGTGTCCTTGGGCAAGTTACTTAGCCTTGCTGGGCCTCTGTTTTCTCATCTGTAAAATGGGAATAATCGTAGTATGCACAAGAATTTAATGAGCCTCCATAATAAGATGGACCCTGGGTTCAAGTTCTGCCTCAGTCCCTACATAGCTGTGTGGTCTTGAACCAATAAAACCTTTGAGTCTCAGCTGTTTCATCTACCAAAGGGGGTTAATAATGATACCCACTGCATTAGAGGGTCCTGAAGATGATGTCTGCAGAACGCCTGGCCAAAAGAAGCCATTCGGGCGTCTGGGTGGCTCAGCTGGCGGGGGGCAATGGTAACTAGCCAAACGGACAGGCCAGGAGGGGCTGAGCAAAGGGGGAGACCAAGGGCAGGGTGCCAATGAGGGTGGAAATGGAGGGGGACAGGGAAAGCTGGGTGAGGGAGAGCAGGAGGCTGTTTCAGTCTGTTGGAAAATAAGAAAATTGAGACAAAAATATCACAGCCGTGAAACTGGTTGGGTGCCAAATGAGCCAGATCTGTCAGGAATTCGACCCCAGTGCTAAGCCCCAGTGCTCGGGGCTGTCATTGACACCGTGGCAGTGGGGACATGTGGGTCTTTAAATAGCTCGGTGTCTCAGAAGTGGGGGAGGCAGAATGTTAAATATGACGCCGGCTGCCATCCTGCCCCCCCCCCCAGCCCCGCCAGAGGCCACAATGTCTCACCCCTGCCTTGGGCAGGGCAATCCTGCCCCACTTCACTCCTGAGAGAGAATAGGGGAAGAGGCGGATGGAGATGGGAGGAAGGTGGTTTTTCCACCATCAAAAAGGATTCCTTGATTTCCTGCCATTGCCTGTTCCACTGGCTCTTGTCTGACCAGTGGGAAGTCCCTCCTGAAGTCTAACCATCATTGTGCTGCAGGCCCAACCTGTCTCTTCTCGTGGTTTCCGCAGCAGAGGCAGAGCACAGTCAGTCCCCACTTCCATCAATCATCCTGCAGAGACAGTCTGAGCTCTCCCGGTACCCTCACTCTCTCACCTCTACTTCTGAGGACTTTTCCTTACTGGACAAAGGGGCGGGGAACTGGTTTGGCTTCCTGGCTTTGCAGACAGCAGGGGCCCCCAGTTTCCAGAAGTCAAAGGTCTGTGGTGTGCAGAGCTTTGGCAGGCTCCCCTAAAGCCTGGCTGATGCCCAGCCCAAGCCAGGTCCAAACATCAAGGCAGAGATTACTCTCTTGTGCCAAAGCTTCATCAGCCCTGCTAGGGCAGGGTCTCCTCATTCCCCAGGGGAAAAGACTGAGAAAGACAACTCTCCCAAGACTTAACCTGCAAAAAGCCGTCCTATCCTATCCCAACAGAAATCAGGAGCCCCACTCGCTCCAGAAGACCCAGCCCAAGACAAAGTCCACTGCCACACCCTCCATTCAGCTCAGGATCCCCTCCCCGCAAACACAGGCCCATAGGACTAAAAGATCAAGTGTAAAATCCAAACTGGGTCATCAAGGGAGTGTGGGCACAGAGACTCGGTCCCTCGAGGACCTAGTGCCGGCATGTGGGGGTTCCATGTTCCAGAACCCTGTATCCCGTAGGATGTCTTCAGGCACAGGCCCCAGGTATCTGCCCTCTCTCCACCTCACATCTCCTGCTCTGTCCCTAAGGGTCCTCAGTAGACTGGACTGAGGAGTATCAGGAGGCCTGACCCTCACCAAGAAGGAAGAGAAAAGACCCAGGAATCAGGTAGATGAAGACGAGAGCTGTGACTCCTGGCAAAGGCTGGGACCCTCTGAGGTCCCCCCAGACCCACCGGTCTATCCAAGGAGGTGCTAAGCTTTGTTCAGAGAGTTCAGGCAGGGACTGTCCAGTGCTCTCTAGCAGGGGTGGGGGCGGGAGTGCAGCCGTGGGCCCAGACAGCAGTGACCCTGGAAGAACCCCAAGGGAAAGGGGACAGGTGTGCCCTCCTCAATTCTCTGCCCTTCCTGCTTTCTTGGCCAGGACCAAACTCCCAAACTCCCTCCTCTGAGAGAGGCCTAAACAGGAAGTGGTGGTTCTATGCCACCCATGCCCAGGACAGGGTATGTGGGTGCCAGGCCCCTGCCTACACAAGCGTCCCTGCCTCTCAGCACTCGGGGGCTCTCTGTGCCACCTTACCTCCCTCCACTCCCCTTCACCCAGCCACACTGTGGCCAGGCTGACCTTTCCAAGGCTGCCTATCGAGGTCCCACCCCTTCCACCTTCTGCCCCTCGGCTCTGGTTGTGCCTCCAGCCTGAGATACAGAAATCCAACCTCCTCTCCCTGCATCTGTATGTGTCGAAGCCTGATCAGGCCTATGAGTCCCCGATGGAGCCCCTCCCCCCCTCTGGGCTTCCCCAACAGACTTTTCCACTTAGAGGACGCCATTTCCCTCCCCACCTTACTGCTCCCAGGGCTCTGCCTGCATTCTGCCTCCCGGGCTAGCTGGACCTGCGCCTCCCGGAGGCTCAGCTTCTTGGGGCAAGGGCCTCCGTTCCCACCAGTGTTAAGCCCTGTCTCTACCCACAGCAAATGCTCAGCAGACACTGCTCAGGATACGGAGACAGCCCACAAGAGGAGCTAAGTGCTCTTAGAGCCCTGGAGCCAGTCCTGGATGCTAACCTGCCTCCACCAGTCACTAACTTGTGAGCTGCTGGCTTTGGACAAGGTTTTCCCCCTCTGAGCCCTGCTCAGAGCTCACAGTGGTATTATGAGGATTGAATGAGAAAATATATGTAAAGTACTTAGGACAATGCCTATTATGTAATTCATAACACTTATTATTCATATTTGTTAAATAGAAAAGATGAGGGAGTGGGCGCCTGGGTGGCTCAGTTGGTTAAGCGACTGCCTTCAGCTCAGGTCATGATCCTGGAGTCCCGGGATCGAGTCCCACATCGGGCTCCCTGCTCAGCAGGGAGTCTGCTTCTCCCTCTGATCCTCTTCCCTCTCATGCTCTCTATCTCTCATTCTCTCTCTCTCAAATAAATAAATAAAATCTTAAAAAAAAAATAGAAAAGATGAGGGAGGATTGACATTTCCCAGAGGTTTAACAGCCTCCTTCCAATCCCTGTCACCTAAGTCTGAGGCTTGGTGTGGACTTCTCAGCACCCCCGTGCTACCAGTTTTCCTAAGGTCCTCAGAGGCCTTGGGGTGGCCAGATCCAGGGGTGTCCTTCAGTTCTCTTGACTGTCCAGCAGAATTCCAGAGAACGGCCTACCTGCTCCCCCTTGTTCCTGTCCCGGGGCTTCTCAACCACACCTACCCCTCCAGCCACTCCTGTCTCTGTTGCTGGCTCATTGTCCTCTGTCTGACCTCTATGTTTCGGGGGCCCCTTGGGGCTCCATCCTAGACTCCTTCGCCTCCCTACTGCTGAGGCTCGTCAGCACGGTCAAGATGGCAAGAGTGCAGACTCAGGAGCCAGACGGCAGGGCTCAAACCCTGGCTCGTTGGGCAGGTTACTTTACCTTTTCAGTCCTTGGTTTCCATCTGTAAACTCGGGATAATAGTACCACTTATCTCATAAGCTTGTTAAGGGATTAACGAGGTTAATATTTATAAAATGCTTAGGATCATACCTGATATACAGTAAGAGCTATGTATGTGTTAAAGAAATAAATTTAAAAAAATGTTGGGGCACCTGGGTGGCTCAGTCGGTTAAGTGTCTGCCTTCAGCTTGGGTCATGATCCTGGGGTCCTGGGGATTGAGTCCTGGGATTGAGTCCTGCATCGGGAGAGCACAAGCAGGGGGAGAGGCAGAGGGAGAGGAAGAAGCAGGCTCCCCGCTGAGCCAGGAGCCCGACGTGGGGCTCGATCCCGGGACCCTGGGATCATGACCTGAGCCGAAGGCAGACGCTTAACCAACTGAGCCACCCAGGTGTCCCTAAAATCTTAAAAAAAATGTTAATCACCTCAAAACATAGCTCAAACATAGTTCTCTTTAAAACCCCCCTTCCCAAGACCCATGCCCCCTCCCCGTCTAGCTACTGTGCCCTATGCTAAAACTCACTAGCCCCCTGTATCCACTTCCACCCCTTCAATCTGTTTGCTACACAGTAGCCAGAATGAGCTTTCCAAGCAAATCTATTCCTGAAACCTCTCCTCTCCAACCCTCGTGGCTTCCTGATGCTTCGAGAGTCCAGATCTGAAGTGTTAATGTGCCCCCAGGCTCTCCACAGGCTGGCCCCATTAACTGCCCACCTGCCCACCTGTTTTGTACCCACTCCCTGGCTTCCTGTACAGCAGGCCTCCCGGCCTTTCAGGTTCTCACTCTCTTCTGCCTGTGCACATTCTGCATCTTCTGTGTAGATGACTCCTCCCACTCTCCCTGAATTCACCTAGCTAACATTCATTCATCATTCCAATCTTACTTCAAAAGCCCCTTCCTCAGGGAAGCCTTCCCTGACTGCCCGGTACAGGTCTGGTCTAGTGCTCCCTCACGCACCCCTACAGCACATCTCTTCCACTGCACTTTTCCAGACTTGTACTTTCACATTCGATTGTGTGCTTGTGTGGTTACCACTGCAGGGCAGGAACCTGTTTTTTTGTTTATTTTTTTTAAAGATCTTATTTATTTATTTGAAAGAGACAGAATGAGAGAGAGAGAGAGCACATGAGAGGGGGAAGGGTAAGAGGGAGAAGCAGACTCCCCGCTGAACAGGGAGCCCGATGCGGGACTCGATCCTGGGACTCCAGGATCCATGACCTGAGCCAAAGGCAGACTCTTAACCGACTGAGCCACCCAGGCGCCCTGTTTAGTTTTTTTTTTTTCTAAGTAAGCTCTACACGCAATGTGGGGCTTGAATTCATGACCCTGAGATCAAGAGTTGCATGCTCTCTGACTAAGCCAGCCAGATACTCCCTGTTTTTATATACTTTTGGATCTCCAGCACTCAGCCAGGTGCCTGGCACATAGGAGGTGCTCAATACATGAACGAATGGCTGCCTTGGTGGCAGGCAGGCAAGTGAACACAGAAGGTTTACACTGGGGGCCCTGATGGTAGCCTCTCACTCTCACGCCCTCCCCACGGTTGTCACAGTTCAGAGCTGTACCCTAGTCCGTGCTTCTCACACAACTTCGGGCCCTCGACGCCGCCTCCTCTGACCAGTCGCACTGTGAAGCTCAGAGCTCTCTGGATACTCACAAGGATCATAGTTCAGTTTCCCAGGGATGGTCTAAGAGTCCTGTGGCTGCCACACCTCCAGGCCTGGGCTGGGACTGAGGGTGCTTTGAGTCGTGCAGAGGGGTCTCTACCACCCACCTCCCTTCTGTGCTTGTAAATTGCCCTACTGGGTCTCTTAGTGGCTTCCTCCCTCAGGACCAAATGTTTCTCTCCTCCCTCCCTCCTTCCCTTCCTCCCAAACAGCCTGGCCTAGGATTCTGCTAGGAAGGTAAGGTCTGATTCAGCACCTTCCCTGTTTTCTCCCTAGGCCTGACCACCCACAGCTGCAGTTTTAGACCTGGAAAACACAGGGGAGGGGAGCCTGGATGGCTCAGTCATTAAGCGTCTGCCTTCGGCTCAGGTCATGATCCCAGGGTCCTGGGATCGAGCCCCACGTTGGGCTCCCTGCTCCGCGGAAGCCTGCTTCTCCCTCTCCCACTCCCCCTGCTTGTGTTCCTTCTCTCGCTGTGTCTCTCTCTGTCAAATAAATAAATAAAATCTTGAAAGAAAGAAAGAAAGACAGACAGAAAGAAAGAAAGAAAGAAAGAAGGAAGGAAGGAAGGAAGGAAGGAAAGAAAACAGGGGAAGGCAGGTAAAGGGAAGCCCTGTTGGGAGAGACTGGGGATCAAAGAGTTCCTCCTTCCTAGAGGAGGGTGTACAGCAGGAGTCCTGCCAAGTCACCTACCCAGGCGAAGGCCACGCAGGTGGGATACATGGGGGAGGAGGCTGGCACGGACGTGTGGTAGCGGCAGAGCATCACCAGGCTGGCCAAACCGTTGAGGAAAGAGGCCATGGCAGAAGCTGGCTCTTGGAAGAACAGGAACCGGGAGAAGGGCCACTGAAAAGGGAGCACGTGGAGGGGGCTTGAGGGGCGAGCAAGCCCAAGTAGCCCGACCTGCTTTTCCTTGACGTGCCACATCAACAGGTCTTTGGCTGGTTCCTTAGCTCTGGACCTCGGCCGAAGCCTCAGGTACAGTCCCTCTTTGGGTCCAGTCCCTAACTGAAGGTCCTCCCTCTGTCCTAGCCAGCATTCATAGCACTGTAAGCCTGGTCTCTGGGAGACTAGGTGGGCCAGTATAGATGGCTCAGGATGGCCTAGTGGAAAGAGCATACATAGACTTCCCACCCAGAAAACAGAGGTCCTAATATTTTCCTCCTCTACCGCTGACCACAGGCCTCTGAGCCTCAGCTTACTCTGACAAACTGGGGAGAATAATTCTTGCCAACCTCAATAGTCTAGAACAAGGTCATATTGGATGAAAAAGCACCAGCAGGGGAGGTGGGTGGGGGGATGGGGTAACAGGGTGACAGACATTAAGGAGGGCACATGATGTGATGAGCACTGGGTGTTATATGCAACTGATGAATCACTGAACTCTACATCTGAAACTAATGCTGTATCTATGTTGGCTAATTGAATTTAAAGTAAAAAAAAAAAGCACTAGCAGGACTTGCTGGGCAATCTGAGGGGGTATTACTATTTTAATCCAGACTACTACTGAAGAAGCAAAAGAAAGGATGCTGTGGGGGGGGGGTCAGGAAATTCATCCTTGTAGCAAGGTGAACATTCAGCCACCCTAAGAAGTCCAGCATCACTCTCTGAGGTCACACAGCTTCCCAAATGTTGTTACTCCAAATCCAGAGCCAAGACACACTGGTTCCATCTGATTATATGAAAACCAGCAGATTTTGGAGAATAGGCACCTGCCCCAAACACACACCCATCACCCCATAGCTCAGACTGCTTGACTCAGGGGTATCTTTCTCCTACAACACTATCACCATATACCTACCCTGACCCTCCAACTCACCTTGCCATGGAACTGAGGCACTTTGTGACCTTCCTTGATGTAGAGGCCAACAGTGACCCACATACACTCATACTTACAGTCGTCCTGACAGGTCCAGCCTGAAACAGAGAAATGGGACCTGGTGAACTCCCCATCACAGGAGGCACAGAGAGAGCTCAAATGGAACCCAAACTCAAATGCAGGCTAAGAGGGCCTGCAGGATGGAGAGAACCAGATGAAATCTTAAAAATTCTAACTTCCCACTTGGATCTATGAGACATGGTAGGCCACACACATAAAGGAAAGGTGTGTGTGTGTGTGTGTGTGTGTGTGTGTGTATGTATTTTAGGGGATGGGGGTGTGCAGTGAGCAAACACAGACATTTCTTCTCTTCTCCTTCCACCAAGATGGGAACTTTGGCATCTGACAGACTCATCAATGGATACGTAGGTTTATGTTTGCTCTTGCTGAACTTAAGCTTTGCTCTCACTCGCCAGGGAGGAACTCTTGCCATCGTACCCCCCTCCTATGAAAATGAAGCCCAAATTCTTCACTATGACTTGTGAGTCCCCAAATTGCTTTTCCAACTTTATTTCCCATACTCCCACCCACACCCTGCTCCCTGAGTTAAACCAAGCTACTGGAGACGCTCACATCTGCCCAGGGCCTCCATTCTCTCTGTTCCCTCTGGAATGCAAAGGGATAGTAAAGAGCACAAACTTGTAGTCAGACGGGCCAGAACCGGAAACTCCACTTTACCACTTTCTGACTATGTGACTTAGGGCAGGGCACTTAACCTCTCCAAGTTTCCCCATTGTAAAATTGGGTGAAAGGAAACTTAAAGGGTTGTGAAAATTACCCAACCTACTGTGACACCTGTCACACACCGGGGGACCACTATGGCCACAGGTCCAAATTTAATGTGTCCATCCTGAAGCCCTTCTTTCACAGAATATTCCAAGATGATCCCTGCTCCTGCCCTCTCAAAGCCAGAAACGATTCCTTCCTCCCCCATATGTTGCGATTGCTTGACCTAAGGGTCCTTTAGGACTCAGATCATCCTCTACCTTGGGCTAGAGAAGGCTAATGTCCCCATGAAGACTGTGGACCCTAATGGCAGGACATTGGGTCCGATTTCAGTGTCATTCTACAGCCAGTACCCAGGAATATTAAATAAATACTAACTGAATAAATAAAAAGTAAGACTGGCTGATGCTGCTCTAATCACCCTGGGGCTCCATTCACACTCATAACGGACACCGGGGGAAACGAAGGTTCAGAGGTGGTTTAGGGGCGCAAGGGGAGGGGCCAAGGCTGAGGGGCGGGGTTTTCCGCGGGGAGGGGCTTACCTGCTAGACTCATGTAGATTGGCTGGCGGGAGCGGAAGTGCCTCAGTGCGCCCCCCGAGCAGTTCCGCTCCTCGCACCGGTGCACGCAGTCGCGGTACACCGGCTCGCGGTCGCCCTGGGAGCCGCTTGCTAGCGCGGCTGCCCCAGCTAGCAGGACCAGCCGCGCCGTCCGCCCGGCCATCCCTTCAACCTGGCCCTCCGCCGGCGGAGGAGCTTAGGAGTCTTCACTTCCGGAGTAATCGGAAGTGCCTTGTGTTCTTTATTTCGCTCTCCGGTGACGTCCACCCACTGGAAATAGAAGTGCCCGGATTTCCGTGGGCGCCTGCCCCGCCCCTCGTTTTACTGTCATCTCCGTCTATTGAGGCGACAGGGCTAAGGAGCAAAATAAACTGGTCTTTTATCAACATGCGTCCTGTTTCTTCTCCATGCTCTCCTTATTAGAAGTACGGTTATTTTTCTGTCACCAGCCCCGTCGAATTTCGCTTCCTAATATACCTGGAACCGCTCACTTCTCTCCATTTCCATTGGCACCACCCTGGTTAAAGACATCATCATCTGTCGCCGAGACAGTCGCGGTAGCCCCTTCACAAGTCTCCCTGCCCCTACTTTTGTCCCCATCGACTCCGCGTTCCGTTAACAAATTCAAATTTGACTGTGTGACTTCTCTTCTTAAATTCTTTACTGGCTCCCAATTACCTCAGGATAAAATCATAACTCCACAAGCCCTGCACGATCTGGCCCCTGCGCCAGACCCAAGGGGCCATGTTTCTCAACCCTCCCGGCTTTGCCTCGTCTGTATCATTCATACTCTCATGCCTGCTTATTCTTCTGGCCTCCATTTAAACACCATTTCTGAAGGTGTTAACCCCTGGAGGGTGATGTAAGATAAAAGTGGTATGTTTTACCCAAGCGGGGTGGGGACCTCTGCTGTCTTGTTTACCGCTCTACTTGAAGCACTAGTACAGAATTTGGCTCAGGGTAGGTGCTAAGAACTCCTTTCTTTCTTTCTTTCTTTTCTTTTTTTCTTTCTCTTTTTCTTCTTTTCTTTTCTTTCTATGAAGGAACAACGTTAATTCAACGTAAGAATTTGGGTGCTAAATCCAGGGCTGTCAAATCACCAACGTGATACAGATCACACTGAGATAGGAGAGGTGTAATATTTCAAAGAAAGTCAAGAAGAGGACCTTCGGGAACAGGACACTTGCTCTAATATCCATCCCCTCCTCCCTACATCACCACCAGGACACACACGCATACCCATCTCATTGAAGCAGTGAAGCCTTGTAGCTAGATGCTTAATTAGTGTGTGTAGCTTAATGACCGCTTTTCCTCATCTCCCACTCTCCACCCCGGGTCAGCTTTTCCTTTTTACATTGAGAAGTAGAATGAGCAAGATGTAAAATTGGATTCTATTTACTTACTCATTTAGCAAACATTTCCTGAATTCTTAGCTCTAGCACCTCGCTAGGCAAGACACAACTCCCAGGAGGCACCATTCATATTATATTTCCTGTGAATAGCACTCAGGGGTGCACCATCTACATTGTATTTTTCCGTGAATGGTTCCTCTTCAAGTTAACTATAACATGAATAGTATCCCCTGGAGTTGAACACCCAGTTGATAATGATTGGGAAGCTGAAAGGAACAAAACAACTACTCAGCCCTCCAGGAGCTGACCAGAAGCAATTTAGTGTTAATACTGCTTTGCATCTGATTGATCAGTCCTTTTCTACTACATTATTTCATTTTGTCGTTACTATAATTCTGGGATCAAATTTTTAATGAGCATCCTCATTTTTTCTAAGATTTTATTTATTTAGTTATTTATTTGAGAGAGAGAGAGCATGAGCACAAGTCAGGGGCTGGTGTTGGGGGGGGGAGGCAGAGGGAGAAGCAGACTCCCCACTGAGCAGGACCTGAGCCAAATGCAGACACTCAACTGACTGAGCCACCCAGGAGCCCCATTGAGCATCTTCATTTGAAGATGAGGCAATTTTTTTAAAAAAGATTATTAATTAATTTATTTATTTGACAGAGAGAGACACATCAAGAGAGGGAACACAAGCAGGGGGAGTGGGAAAGGGAGAAGCAGGCTTCCGGCCGAGCAGGGAGCCCGCCTCGTGGCTCGATCCCAGGGGATCATGACCTGAGCCGAAGGCAGACGCTCACCCTACTGAGCCACCCAGGCGCCCCAAGATGAGGCAGTTTAAGGGTGCCTGACTGATTCAGTCAGTAGAGCATGCGACTCTTTTTTTTTAAGATTTTATTTTTAAGTCATCTCCACCCAATGTTGGGCTTGAACTCACAACCCTGAGATCAAGAATCGCAGGCTTGATATAAATTTGAGCTCTATGCTGGGTGTAGAGATTGCTTAAAAGTAAAATCTTTTTTTTTTTAAGATTTTATTTATTTATTTCAGAGAGAGAGAGTGAGCAAACAGGCAAGCATGAGCACGGGGAGAGGCAGAGGGAGAAGCAGACTCCCTGCTGAGCAGGGAGTCAGATGCGGGGCTTGATCCCAGGACCCTGGGATCATGAATTGAGCCGAAGGCAGAGACTTAACTGACTGAGCCGCCCAGGTGCCCAAAAATAAAATCTTAAAAAAAAATGGGGAAATTTAGAATAAAAGAGGATAAGATCCTAACAAAGCAGGATTCTCCCTTTGAGAGAACTCCGAGGTAGAGATAGGGCTCTTTTTAAAACCTTTAAGTTTCTGATTTTGGAGGCCCCACCCTATATTACATCAAACATTAAAAACAAAGGGAAAACGTAAAAAGAACAATTTCAGGTAGTCACACGTGTGGAGTTATATAATTGGATAATGTAAATAGGGAGAGGCCCTAAGGGAATGAGGAGGGAGGAGAAGGCTACTTTGGGTTGGGTGGTTGGAGAAGGACTTTTTGAGAAGGTGACATTTGAGCTGAAACCTATGTGACCAGAAGGAACCAGTCCTGCTAACACCTGGGGGCAGATTGTTCTAGGCCAAAGGAACAGCCAGTGCAAAGGCCCTAAGGTAGGAACAAATTTGGCATCTCTGGAAAACAGAAAAGAAGCTCATGTGGCTGGAAGGCTATGGGATTGAAGTGACAGCCAGAGACAGATTCTTTCAGATCTTGGGTCACAGTCAAGAGTTTAGGCAATGGGAAGCCATTGCGAGATGTTTTAGCACTCGAACAAATGAAACTATGTTTAAAACATTTACTTTGGGGCGCCTGGGTGGCTTAGTTGGTTAAGCATCTGCCTTCAGCTCAGGTCACGAACCCAGGGGTCCTGGGATCGAGCCCCGCATTGGGCTCACTGCTCAGCGGGGAGTCTGCTTCTCCTTCTCCCTCTCCCTCTGTGTTCTCTCTCTCAAATAAATAAAATCTTTTAAAACAGCAACAACAAAAATCATTTACTTTGGCTGCCAAAGGAAAAGGAGGGGGTAGAATTGAAAGAGGGCAAGAGCAGCACGTAGGAGATCAGAGGCTAGTGCTTTCACCCAGAGAAGACCTAAGAGAGGTCGATGGTCGAGGCAGGAAAAGCACAAATGTATTGCAAGAGGAATCCATAGATCTCACAGAACGACTGGATGTAAAAGGCAAAACGAAGAATCATGAACATGGGTCCAGTGAATGAAATCATCTGAAACTGGAATTGTCTCCCCAAATCGGGACTTAGTGATTGCCACGGTCTTATGCTTCTGGAAACTTCCTGGCCTTCTCTTCCCTAGATTAAAAGCCAGGGGCAAGAGTGTCCTCATTCATACCCCAGGAGTCTGGATCACCAGCAGCAAGCCAGGGGAGTTTGGAGTCCTGAGGGCTGAGTAGAGCAGGAAAACTCAGTGTTTGTGAAACAAAGAATCTGGAATCTGGCAGACCGATGGCTCAATGGGGCTTTCAAGGGGTAAGCATGGGGTTGAAGGAGTCACTGCTCCCACACTGAAGTCTAAAACACTGTGACCAGGAACTGTTCAATCCAACTCTCTCATATTTCAAATGGCAAAATGAAGCCTTATTCAAGACCACACAGCCCAGCTACTATCTGAGGAAAGATCCCTAGATAAACTGAGGGTGTGTGAAATGGCCAGCACAAATGCACAGACAGTACAGGACACAGGAACACAAACCATGGCAGTCTTGTATGGGCAGGATGGAAGCCTTGTGTACTTCATGCATTAAAGCCAGGTAAGGCTGAGTGCATATGAATGCTTTCTTGTCTTGGCAAAGCAGCCTAGAGAGAGAGAAAGGCAAACTCCCCAGGCCTTGGGCCTGCATTCCTGAGATGGGATGAGAAGGGCTGAGGGAGGTGATCAGCAGCAGGCCCAGGGTCAGCATGTCTGGTATGTTGGTTTGGGCTCTGCTCTTTTCTACTCAGGGACCAGGGCTAACCCTGGGCCCAGGGAGCAGCCTCCTGGTGGCTAGGTAGCAAGTGTTCTTAAAAGGCCACCTTTAGAAGGGCAGATTTCCTTCCTCCTTCCTTCCTTCCTTCCTTCCTTCCTTCCTTCCTTCC